GGATTTTGAGCCGCATGTATATTCTTCAAGAATAACTCCCCATCTTCTAGAAGAAAGTATACAAAGTGATACCTCAATAGAATGTGATTTGTTCTGACATGAAAAGAAGCATTCTTAGCAAGATAAATTGCACTCTCTACCACTTTGAAGCTTTCCAATCCCATGCTCCTTGCCCAATTCTGTCATAAAGCCCCATAGCCAAATCATATTCTTGCTAGTCTCAAAGTGCAACAATTTTCTTACAGTTTGGAAATCCAACTCAACGCTATGTTTCCCAAAGCGAAAATATACCTTGTTGTACTCATTCTACAATCCAAATCTCTTACAAGATTGAAATCTACAAATCTCTATAAAATGATACATGGACTTTCATAGCAAAGTGTCACATTGAATTTTCTTCTCAAATACCTGATAATCGACTTCACCGCCTCCAAATGATGTTTCTGGGCCGCTCATGTACCTGCTGGTTATTCTCACTGCATATGCAATATAAAAACAGATATAAATCATAGCATACTTCAAACTTCCAACTACTTGAAACATACAAAGTTCTCTCTATTTGTGGTTGCTCTTTTTTAGACTTATACGATAAATATTTATATAGCATGAAGTGATTACCTATGGGGTTCAAACTAATTTTTCCTCACTCATATTGAGCCTTTGTAGAATCTTATCAACATACTTTATATGAAATAACTTCAGTATAGGTACATTACTCATGCCCCTTGTGATTCTAATATTAAGGATCTTTTTGGTTGGATCTAAATCATCCATTATGAACTCACTTAATAATTACTCATTTAAGTCCCTGATTTTATTTATATATGCCCCATGCAATCATGTCACCCACATACTAAAACAACAATATATAAAAATTACTGAAGTGTTTGATAAAGTAGTTCATAATGGATGATTATATATTGTTGTTTTATAAAATTTACTACTTTATAATCATCCATTATGAACTACTTTATCAAACACTTCTGTAATTTTTATATATTGTTGTTTTAGTATTTTATAAAATAGCCTGGCACATCAAGTACCTACTATTTGTCGTTAGCCTATCAAACCTTCTGTGCTACTGTATTGAGGCCTGCTTCAAGCACAATTTTATTATTAATATGTTAATTTAATTTTTAAGTTTTTAAAAACGAAAACTATAATTTTAGTGTGTGGGTTTACTGATCTAATGTTCTTTATTAGTTCACATTTGAATTTGTATTTTTTTATTGGTATTTTATTTTTTATAACAATTTTTCAAAATAATTATAATTTTGATAGAAACTTATAACTTTTGGTGTTAGGAAAGTCCTTTGACATGAAAAAAATCAGGAAATGTTCGCACTGACAGAGGGATTATTCATTGTAAATTTCATAATTTCTCTAGTTATATTAATTTTTATCATTAAAATACTTTTTGAGATATTTAGCTAATTTAAATTAAATGTAAGTTAATTAATCTCATTTTATTTTTATTATTTTATTCTCCGCTCACTGGGTTTAGAGGTTATTTTATTTTATTTCTACGATTTTTATTTGTTGAGTTATGAATTTTTTAAGTTTATAACCATTTTCTATATTTAATTAATTCTAAAAAACTAGATTTTCTAACTTAACCTCACAGAGCTGACTCGATCCTCGAACGCTCCGAAGCTCCAAGCTGTGCTCAGAAGTTTGCTACCCTTTTTACGCAAGTGGGTGAATTGCTCAATCCAGTGCACTGATTCGATCCTGTGGTTCGCCCGGTTCGATCTTCGCCGTGCATTACAAATACATAGAAACAAACGGCATTCATTCATCATCTCCATGGGGTATAGAACATAGAACCATCCACACTCAAACCCTAAGATCTCTCTTCACACTCAACCCAATCAAATTGTGTTTGATCATATAACTTCATGTAAGTGAGACGAATCTATCTATATGGCTAAATGAGCATGCATTCTTCATTTTCATCATAGAAGACCAAACAGAGGGGAAATTTAACAGTTTCGAGCCATTACCTTCATCCAAGAGGTGAGACATCAATTGAATGAGTTGAGAAGCTTCGGTTTGGAGTTGCACACCTCCTACTTCCTTCAATTTCATATGTAGTTGGGCCTAGATATGTGTTAGACCAAAAGGTGGCTCGGGTTGTGTAAAACTAGGTTAGAGGGTGCGGGAAGAAGGAATTTTGATTGGGGATGTGGTTTTACAACCTTGTGAAGCTAAAGAAAGGGTTGAAGTTGAGTTTTAGTGAGGTTGATGTCTAGGTTGTAAAAAGTCATGGATTTCAGAGGGGAAATTAGGGTTATGTGGTGGTGGAGATGGCTTGAAAATGGTGGGAGGTGGCCGCTAGGGTTTGTGGGAGAAAAGTTGAATTTGGGGGCAGATAGTTTTAATATAATTTTGGGGAGTTTCCTTGTGTTGCTAGGCTCTTGGGTTGTGGCTTTAAATTTCCATGGGAGGTCATTAGAGAGGCCTTGACGTGCATGAGAGGCGTTGGTGGCTCTTCAGGGAATCGATAAAGGTATTTCAGAGGCTTGAGCAAAGGTAAAGAAGCTTTCCCCACTTTTGATGCATTGAGCATGGTGGAGCTCCAATGGCCATAGAGGTGACATGAAAAAGCCAAGAGCTCATTGGAGAGGGCTTGGATTTTGGTGGCTTTACTCAGCTTTGGTCACCCATAACTTCCCTTGAGTTTGATTTGAGTTGGTTTGATCGAGGTGACACTTGGTGGCTCACTTAATTTAGTGTGCATTGTTTGAATTTTAATGTTTGTTTTGTGTTTAATTTATTTTTAATTAATTCTTATTTGGGTTGTAGTGTCATGAGGGGTTATTTGGTTCATGTGAGTCACAAGTTTGCCTTTTAGGGTTACAAGGCTTGGGCTTAAGTTTGGGCCTTGATTGGTGGGCTTGTCTTTGGATGGCTGGGCTTACCCATTAGTCCCCTTAGAATTAACTAATCTAAATAATTAGATTAATCAATTTAATTTATTATTTAATTTATTTTAATTAGGTTTGATTTAAGTTCAAATTGATAATCTTAATGCTTATGGTATGGGCTCAAGTTGACTAGTGATGTTGTTAGTCTTTGGTGGTTTGATGTTATAATAATTTATTATTATTATTATTATGATTTAGTATTAAGTTTGATTGATATTAATTTCTTTTAAGGTTGTTGAGAATTTTAAGCTTGGGATTGAATTTAGTGTATTTAAGTGGTTATTTGCTCTTAGAGTTTTCTTTAAGTTTGGTGAAGGCAATCAACGGGCTCAAACCTAACCTTGATGGCCTATTTGTTCTTTGATTTAAATATTTTATGTTAGGATTTTCTTGTTTAACTTTAGGGTTTTGATAGAAAGGGAAACCCTTCTATAGTCTAGAACTAACCTCATGCCCAATGGGCTTCTTCTAGATTAAAGAGGGTTTTAGGGGAGGTCAGTGGGTCATCACTGGGATTCCTAGGACTCTAGGCTTCATGGGTTGCCCAGGGCATTTTTTACATATAGGAATTCAACCTGGGCTCCTACCAATCTTAACCCTCATCATCTCAACCCATAGTTGAGGATTTGTGTTTAACCTTATGAAACCTTAAGTGAATATAAAATTGGTTAGAAGTTCTATGTGGGTGAGTTCTGTCCCTAAACATCTAAGAAGGTCACTAAGAAACCTCAAGGTTAGATCCAAGGCTTCTATTGAGAGAAAAGAGGTCCTCATAAAAGTGAGGTCAACAACACCATCCTTTTCTACAAAATTGCATGCCTTATTGTCTCTTAGATAAACCTTTCTAGATCACTTTTAGTGTAATTTTTTAATACCTCTTTATTGAGACATACATGAAAAGAGACATGAATCTTATATCCAAGATTCGATGCTGACAAGGTATAAAACTAGATAGTCTCCTTGGTTTTTTATTGTGGAGACATTAGTAGAAAGATTCTTTTCCTTTCGTCTACCACCTTCTTTAGTAGCTTTAACATTCATTTCTTTCCACGGTTTCATCATTCTTCTCTGTCATTTCCTCTGCTTGACCCGTAGTTCCCTCGTTTAGACTTAACTCTGTCTCTGCCTTTATTTTTGTCAAGAATCATTCCACTGTTTTACACATTCAACACAAAACCTGAAGATTCATCATTTATTTTTTTTCTGTGAATTACTTCATTCAACACCAACCTCCTGATTTCATCAAAGTTCAACTTCATATTTCCTGAAAAGTTTCTCACCGTCGTGATCAATCCATTATAACTATTCGACAACGAAGAGTGACTATCCACTTTTTGGGAAAACAAGAAACAATTACTCAAGTATCCTAGTATATACTAGGTTTGTCCACTAGAGCACTTGACCATTAGAATACTCAGTTTAGAAATATTCAAATAAAAGTATGATTGCATAATTACACACCAGGAGATCAAGAATCAATAAAATTTCTATGCTAAAAAATGTAGGTAATTGGTATATACCTCTTATTTAGAAGAAGAGCCATTTTTCTAAGTCTCACCCAACATGAATTGGTGAGTCCCTTAAGCGCCCACCTGTGGTCATAATACCTATTAAAATATAGGGTCAAATCCAAATTTTCAGAAACAGAGAGAGAGAGAGAGAGAGAGAGAGAGAGAGAGAGAGAGAGAGAGAGAGAGAGATCTTCCATGGGGCAGATGTAGTTTTGGTATGACTTCATTTCTCAAAAAGCTGCAAAAAAGTAAAGAATCCCAATCTGTGAAGAAAGTCAACTTAAAAAATATGCTCTTTTACTATCTTCTTGTATGAGTATCTCCCTCATTGAGCTCTCCCTCTTAAAAATCCCAACTTGAGCAACTCCTTACATAGCTTTAAGAAAATGTAATCCAACATAACTTTTGAACCAAAAAATCAGTCCTTGGGTCTCAAATAACTTGACCCTAAATTGAAAATAGCAATCTTCTGTTTGGAAGTCTAATATGAAAGCAAACTTCAAAGGCTAAACTTAGCAATTGGCTCAAAATTTCTCCTGCAACTTACAATCATATAGTATTCCCGTAGTCCTGTCCAAAACTGCTAATCATATCATCCATATCCAACCGAAGGTCTGAAGAAGGCATTGCCATCGAAGAAAGAGAAAGAGAAAAGCGCCAAAATCTATAAGCAATCGAACACACTAAAAAGAAATAAATCCCAATTAACATACCAAAAAACCAATTTTTTTTTTCTTTACAAGCAAATCAACATGAACAAATCAATTTATTCGAGACAATGGTAAATCCGACAAAGAAGGATAACTCGCCGCAGTGCAGCTATTCGACGAACTCTCATCCATCAAAATCTTATTTCTCCTCGAACTCGAATCAAAAACATAAAAATCATCCTCCGAAATATCTGGAAGAGCTACTTCCCCTTCCAAAACCTGCACGACCTGCCTCATAGACGGCCTTGCCGACGGCGCTGGATGCGAGCATATCAAACCCAATCTCAACACCAGCTCCATTTCCTCCGCCGAATAAACAGTCCCTAGCTTCCTATCCCTCGCTTCCAAAATCTCACCTTCCCTCAAAAAGTCCATCACCCAATCCACAAGAACCATCTCAATCCCTGAGGTTTTCAGCTCAATCGGCCGTTTGCCGCACGCAACCTCAAGAAGAAATGCTCCGAAACCAAACACGTCGGAGGAAGTTGTCGATTTCCCCGTCCTGGAGAGCTCGGGTGCGAGATAACCCAAAGTTCCGACCACTCTTGTCGTCTGCAAATTGCTTCCGCGATCATGTAGACGTGCGAGCCCGAAATCTCCGAGCTTTCCGTTGAATTCGGCGTCGAGGAGGACATTGCTTGCTTTGATGTCTCTGTGAATAACAACCTGCTCCCATTCCTCGTGAAGATAGAGAAGCGCAGCGGCGATGCCGCGGATGATTTTAAATCGCTGGCTCCAGTTGAGAGTTTTCTCAGGTCGGTCGAAGATGTATTTCTCTAAGCTGCTGTTGGGCATGTAATCATAGACGAGGAGGAGCTCACCTCGCCGGCGGCAATAGCCGAGGAGCTGCACTAGGTTTCGGTGTCGAAGCCTGCCGATGCTCGCAATCTCTGCAACGAACTCCTTCATCCCCTGCCTCGAATCGTGGGAGATTCTCTTCACCGCGATCTCAAGTTTGGATTTTGGTAGCCGCCCTTTATAGACACCACCGAATCCCCCGTTGCCCAAGAGGTTCTCGTCGCTGAACCCCTCGGTGGCTCGGTAGAGATCTTTGTATGAGAATCTATGAGGCCCATATTCAGTTTCCCAATCCTCCACCACTTCTGCAAACTTCTTCTTGGTTTTAATGAGATGCACGATCCCAATTGATGCAATGAAGAGAACAATGAAGATGACTATCGGTAGCAGAATGATCCACAGTTGGGTGGTTTTTTTCTCTGTGGTAGTGTCCTCTGCTTCTTTTGTAGGAAGAGATGGAAGTTGAGAGAGGTTAAGCTCTTCTGCCTTTCCGTTCACGCTGAAGCTCCATCCCAGAACGTAATGAGAACCGGCAGCCGCTCCGGTAGCAGCGGCGAATCCGACATACATGTTATTGAGAACGACGGATGAAAGGTTGACCTTTGATGACAAGAGAGGACGTTCTGGTTTTGGATTAATCATAGGAGCTAAAGTGACATTGAGGACCATACCCTTGCCATCATAGTCCACCCAAACACGCATCGGCTCGCCGTTTATCAAGCTCAGATTTTCGTACTGGAGACCAGACGAGTCGAGATAAAAAGAGGCAGGGGCGGAGGAGATGGATGTCAGGCTATTGACGTCGATGCCGACGTGGTTGTCGTTGATGTCCTCAAACTCCCTGTTTTGGATGGTGTCGAGCTCCACGGCGACGATATGGTTGCTCGGATCGCCGTTATTGGTGAAGTTGAAGAGGCCAAGGTGCTGGCTTGGGAGGACGTCGGTGAGTTTGTTGGAAGGGGTGATCGCAAACGCGATGCCATGGGAACTGATGTCCTCGTACCCGGGAAAGATGGCAAAAACAAAAGAGGTGGAGAAAGAGAGCAGTTCGCTGGAGGATGAGTTAAGGAAGACGAAGGGGTTCGGGAAGAAGGCGTGGCCGACCTCATTTTTTGTGAAGTTGGTGAGGCGGAGGAGACCATTGGATTCGATCGTGCCCCCGCCGTTGAGGCTGAGGCTAGCGCCGCGGGAGGCGGTGAAGATTGGATTCGATCGTGCCCCCGCCGTTGAGGCTGAGGCTAGCGCCGCGGAAGCCGTTGAAGACGAAGCTCGACCCTGAAGAAGAAGCTGCGGCGGCAGCGATTTGCGTTGCTAGGAGAAGGAATGAAGCAAGAAATCTATGAAAAATGGGATCTTGGCTTCTCCTTCTTTCTTCATTCACCCAATCCATTTCCGTTGAGAGTGCAGGGAGACAGAGAGAAATGGGAAAATTATATGTTTTAAATTAAAATAAAAAAGTCATACCGGAGTAACTACGCTGGTTTTTCCGTCTATTGGGTTGTGCGTGTCCGTTCATCAAGTCGCATTCACGCGAGCAATAAATTTATAAAATAAAGGAGTTTTTTTTTTTTTTTTTTTTTTTAAAGAGCGATGCTTTTAATAATTAAAGTTTAACGTACTATAAAATACTTTATTTATTTATTTTTGAGAAAATTGATTATAATTTTTAGAAACAAAATAGCTACTTTTTTTTTAATTTTGGGAATTTAAATTTTTATATTGATTATAAATATACTCATTTAAAACATATTAGTATTTATAATTGAGAAAAACAATTTGTTTTAAATAAATTACAATTTTAAATATTGTAATATAATTTAGAGATTACAATGTTATAAAAAATAATTATTAAAACTAGATTCTTAGATGGATAACTATTCTTGTATGTATGCATTATATGATATAAGAGAGCTTTGTTTAATAAAAATACGAATTAATTAACAAACATATTTTTATGGTATAAAATTAATGAACTGAATTAATTTACTTTAAAGCTTTAGGTTCGGAAAAGTCATAAAATTATCAAAGGAAATTACTTAGTTTCATCCATTAAAGTATTTGAGTTTTGTGTTTTGTAATTTCAAAGATAAATGTTATATTTAAAAGAGTAAAAACTTCAATTTTAAATAGATGATAATAAACAATCATTATGTATATATTTATGGAACAGGTCGGTTTTGCTATCCGTTTTATCATTTTTCATATCCGTATTTTAAAGAAAATGTCAATTACTAGCAATGACAACTTGACAATTGACATTGTGCTAGATGAAAATAGTCTGAACTAAGATATTTAATTAAATAAAAATATGAGGAATAATTAACTATTTGTGATTGTATATTGTTCTGCTAGCCTTACTATAATAATCTACACATGCATGCATGCATTAGCTGCATATGTGAAGTTGGGAGAGGTCAGTTTTCTTCTCAGATTAAGAGATAGATTCAAATCACATTCTAACCACTAATTTCTAACTTAGTTGCATTAAGGCTCAACTTTCTAAAATAAAAGTTCGAACTAAGATATATACATTTATGCACAAACCATTAAATTTTTTTTATCAAATATCCAGAAGATAAAAACAAGTATTATATAAGGACAAACAGTTAATTCCTACATGACTTTAGAAATTTGACTTTATATGTCGCATAGTAGTGGAAATTAAATTAGAGAAATATAGCATAAAGTTCATTTTAAATAAAATTAACCCTTTTTGTAAAGGTGGACTACTTATTAAAGTCCAATGCAAATCAAATTTAATTCCAATTAGTTTGAATTTGAATCTGATTTGAATGTTTGTGTGAACCTTGCCACTCTACACATGTTGGCCACTTAATGGCTTTCCTAGGGAGCATGACACCCATCTTGCAATGCCTTCTCCATCGTGCTCTATTTGTGCTCCCTCTTTTCCTCACATATCGTTGGTTTCACCAAAGCTTGCCATGAACAAGCCTCCATCATGAACTTCTTTTCTCCTTGGTACAATGCCATCTTGTGATGTCTTCTCAATGAGCGCATTGCCAATCTCATGATGCATTTTTTGATGTTGCAATGCCTTCTCAAGCGAGCCCCTCTACATGTCACCAATGCCATCAAAGCCTACCAATTAACTGAATCAAACCCTTGATGCAAACTTTTCTTCTATTCATGCACCTCGCTACAAGCATTAAAACCTTTAGTTCGAATCAATATTTGAACGTTGATTAGCTTAAACTAATGTTCAAATAATGACTGAGTTGATTCAAATCAGGGTCAAATGAAGGTTCAAATTAAGTTTGTTTTTTTGAACTAGGTTTGTTTAAATGTTTGAATTCAAACTAATTTGAATGAATCTGATTTGAGACAAACTTAAATGTACAATTGATTATCTTTCATTAGAAGATTTTGAGAAACAAAATTTTAGGCATATTGCTACAAGAAAATTAAGGGCAGACCTATTTCATCTATTTCTACTACAATATATATATA